TCGGCCTCCCAAAGTGCTGGGATTAAGGCTTGAGCCACCGCACCTGGCCCTATAATTCTATTTTATTCCTAGTATCTGGCTAACAGGAATGTATACATAATTGTATCACAAGACATGTACCAGAATTTAAAGCAGACTTATTCATAAGTAGAAGGAACACAACTGTCTGCCAAAAGTAGAATGTATAAATTATAGTGTATTTATACAGTGAAATAACACTCGAGAATGCAAGAGCTCTAGCAGCCACATGGGTGAATCTCAGAAAACATAACATTGTGTAAAATAAACCAGCTATGAAAGAATACATACTCTATCATTTAAAAAATGTTTAAGGCAGTATTAGAAGTTGGGATGGTGGTATTAGGAGTAAGGAGGGATTAGCAATTAAGAAGAGACAGACAGTGGGCTATATTGGTAACATTATGTTTCTTGACCTATGTGATAGTTACATGAGTGTGCACCCTTTGGGAGAATGGCTTAATTCATTGTGATGCATTCACATGGTTTGTGTAGTTTTTTGGTTTTGTTTTGTTTTGTTTTTGAGACAGAGTCTCACTCTGCTGCCCAGGCTGGAGTGTAATGGCATGATCTTGGCGCAATGCAACCTCTGCCTCCTGGGTTCAAGCAATTCTCCTGCCTCTTGCTATGCTGCCAGGCTGGTCTTGAACTCCTGGGCTCAAGAGATCTTCCTGCCTCAGCCACTGAAAGTGCTATAATTCCAGCATTTTCAGTGGCTGAGGCAGGAAGATCATTATGTGAGCCACTGCGTTCGGCCTTAAAAGTTTAAAAATAGAAACAGAAGATACTGTGAACAACTTCATGCCAATACAGTTTTAAAGTTCAAAAGAATAGGCTAATTCCTAGAAAGTAGAAATTACCAAAACTGACATTAGTAAAAGATTAGAGAGCCCAAGTAGTACCATAACCAATAATACTGCAGTAGTTAGGTTTTATAGGCTAATACTACAAAATTTACAAGAAATAAATAATCCCAATTCACAGAAACTATTCCAATGTATAAAATAACAAGGGCCAGTCTTAACTCATTCTGTGATGTTAGCATACTGTTTATACCAAAATCTGACATGAATAGCACAAGAAAGAAAAATTACCATGCAATTTCACTGAAGAATAAAGATGGAAAAATCATAAACCAAATATTAGCCAACTGAATCTAGCAATGAGATAAAAATGAAAGACTGGTTTGATATTAGAAAATAAATTAATGTAAATAACTACATTAATATATTAAAGGAAAAATATAGGAATATCTCAATAAATGCTGAAAAATATCTTATATAGTTTGACATATATTCATGAAAACAAAGCTTAGCAAAATTGAAACAGAACTTTCCTTAATCTAATAGTAGGAATCTGCCCAAAAAACCTATAGCAAACATTGTACTTAATGATGGAATGTTGAATATATTCTTCAATATCAGGAACAAGATGAGTACCTGTTATTAACATTTCTATTTAACACTGTTCTGAAAGTCCTAGTCAGTATAACAGCAAGGACAAAGAGGAGGAAAAAGGTTTTTAAAAAGAACAGGCTGGGTGTGGTGGCTCACGCTTGTAATCCCAGCTCTTTAGGAGGCTGAGGTGGGTGGATCAACTAAGGTCAGGAGTTCAGAAACAGCCTGGCCAGTATGGTGAAACCCTGTCTCTACTAATAATACAAAAATTAGCCAGGCGTTGTGGCACACGCCTGTAGTTCCAGCTATCCAGGAAGCTGAGGCAGGAGAATCACTTGAACCCAGGAGGTGGAGGTTGCAGTGAGCTGAGATCGTGCCATTGCACTCCAACCTGGGTAACGAGCAAAATTCTGTCTCAAAAAAAAAAAGAGAAGAACAAAGCAATTGTTTGTAGATGGTACTATTATCAACAAAGGAAACCCCAAATAATAGAATAGTAAGATTGATAATCAGTATTTTAAAAATCATTTACATTTCTATATATCAGCAATAAACACAGTCAAAAAAATTTTTTTTTGAGACAGGGTCTCTGTCAGCCAGGCTGGAGTGCAATGGCATGATCATAGCTCACTGCAGCCTCAACTTCCCTGACTCAGTTGATCCTCCTGCCTCAGCCACCCAAATAGCTGGGACTACAGGTGTGCACCACTATGCCTATACTTAGCTAATTTTTAAATTTTTTGTAGAGACAAAAAATTTAAAAATTAGAATAGTGTTGCACAGGCTGGTCTCAGACTCCTGAGCTCAAGTAATCTCTCCTCCTTGGTCTCCCAAAATCCTGGGATTATAAGAATAAGCCACTGTGTCCAGCATAAGCAAAAATTTTAAAAGAACATTTATAAAAACATAAAAAAAAAATCAAGTGCCCAGGGATAAGTGCAACAGAAGGTAGACATGGGCCATATGGAGGAAACTATACAATTTTATTGAGAGAATTACAGAAAATTTAAATAAATGGAGATATATTAAGTCCATGGATTGGAAGACTCCATATTGTAAAGTTATCAGTTCCATTAAAACGTTTTGGGCTGGGCATGGTGGCTCACACCTGTAGCCCAGCACTTTAGGAGGCCGAGGTGGGCAGATCACCTGAGGTCAAGAGTTCGAGACCAGCCTGGCTAACATGGTGAAACCCCGTTTCTACTAAAATTATGAAAAATTGGTCGGGTGCAGTGGCAATTGCCTGTAATCCCAGCTATTCGGGAGGCTGAGGCAGGAGAATTGCTTGAACCCGGGAAGCAGAGGTTGCAGTGAGCTGAGATTGTGCCACTGCACTCCAGCTTGGGCAACAAGAGCAAAACTCTATCTCAAAAAACAAAACAAAACAAAACTTTTTGGTATTAATAGATTTAATATAATATCAATTAACATCTGCACCTGGATTTTGTGTGTGTGTATGTGTACATAAATTGATACGTTGATTCTGAGTGTATAAGGATGGTCAAAGGTCCAAGATTTACTCAGATACTATGTGGAAAAATGTGCATATTACGGTATGAGGTAAATCAATATTGTATCATGTAAATTCTACCCAAGTAATCTGTACAGTCAGTGCATTCCAATAAAATTTCTACAAAGTTTTGTTTTAGCAGAACTTGACATGGTATATATAAAATTTACTTGAAGATAAAGCATAATATTAGCCAAGAAAAAGTGTTTGTAAAGCAAATGAAGGGGTCTTGCTTTGCCACATAGCAAATATACTATAAGCCTTCTAGAAATTAAGATAGTGTGGTGTTGCATAGAATACCAATATACAGTCCAAGAACAAAACTTACATGTAGTAAAGATGGCATTACAAACCAATATAAATAAGATCAGCCTTGATACTGGAACAAATTGTATACCAGCAATAAACAAAGCAATGTGTATCTTTTAAACAAATTTTTAAAAGATACATATGATACCATATACAAAAATATACTGTAATTTGAGTCAAACAAAACAGTAACTATCAGTTTTATAGATCCTTTTTATGGAATGTTCATTTAAGATTAAAAATATCCCAGAGGTTGGCTTTGTGTGGTGCCTCACACCTGTAATCCCAGCACTTTGGGAGGCAGCAGGCAGATCACTTGAGGTTTGAGACTAGCCTGAGCAACGTAGTGAAACCCTGTCTCCATTAAACATACAAAAATTAGTCGGGTGTGGTGGTGGGTGCCTGTAATCCCAGTTACTCAGGAGGCTGAGTCAGGAGAATCCCTTGAACCCAGGAGGTGGAGGTTGCAATGAACTGAGATTGCACCACTGCTGACAGAGACGCTGGCTATTAAAATTCTATCTTATGGCCAGGCGCAGTGGCTCACGCCTGTAATCCCAGCACTTTGGGAGGCCGAGGCGGGTGGATCACGAGGTCAAGAGATCAAGACCATCCTGGCCAACATGGTGAAACCCCGTCTCTACTAAAAATACAAAAAAATTAGCTGGGCGTGGTGGCTCGCGCCTGTGGTCCCAGCTACTCGGGAGGCTGAGGCAGGAGAACTGCTTGAACCCAGGAGGCGGAGGTTGCAGTGAGCCGAGGTCGCGCCACTGCACTCCAGCCTGGCGCCTGGTGACAGAGTGAGACTGTGTCTCAAAAAAAAAAAAAAATTTTTTTTCTATCTTATTTACATTCATCTTAGTTGTATAAAATAGTCAGGATTTCATTTGCTAGAAATGAAATGAATCTGAAAGAGCAGGGCTTACAAAAAACTAATAATTAGTCAAAATAAATAAAATTCAATAGATTTCCACAAATCAAAACGAGGTTTGTAAAAGGCTTTATGAAAATACAACTTTGCAGTAGGGAAGGCCTAAAACAAGAGACAAACCTAAAAAACCGTAAAGGAAAAGACTGATAAGTTTGACTATGTTTAACTCTTCTAATAGGTTATATGCCAGTTATTTTACAGTATATTTTATAGGTTATATGCCAGTTATTTTCCAGTATATTTTATAGAAAGTGATGAAGAAATACGTAATTTGTTTGTATGTGATTTTACCCCTAAGTTGTCTCATCAATGTACACTTTTTGGCAACCAACTTTTTTATTTGAAAATATGTTTTGGAGTTCTTACGTATTCATATAAAGCTAATCCTTTCTTTTTAAATTCTATACAGTATTTCAAAGTATTATGTACCATAGTTTATATAATCAATCACTCTGTCATGTACATTTAAGATACTTTGAATTTCTGCATTTTACAATGAAGCATATCTTTATATGTTTATTTGTATTTGTGATTAATTCTCTAAATTAAATTCCCAGAAAAAATTGCTGAGTCAAAACACATATGCCCATTTTAAATTTTGATACTTTAGAGGCGCTGTCCAAACATAAGCTATACCAGATTATACTCCACTATAATGTATGAGAGTACCATCTCCTACTACTCTTGCCAACTGTGGTTAGTGTCAATCTTTTAAATATTTGCAACTAACATGGGCAAAAAAAGTTATTTACCTATAGCTTGTGTGATTATAAATAAGTGAACATCAATAACTAGCTAGAAAACTAAACAAGATAAATGTGTCATTTGCTTTCAGGTCAGTGCTGACAGTTGCTTGTGAACAAACTGAAGTTCTGCTTTTTGACCCTATATCTTCAAAGCACATAAAAACACTTTCTGAAGCTCATGAAGACTGTGTAAATAATATCAGGTTAGTATTATAGTGAAAAAGTGAACTTTATCAGTGTGGCCCCAAATGTTCTGTTTTAGAAGTTAGTGAAAATGTGTAATGCCTTATCCAGCAGTGCTAGATGATCCACATTGTGAATTGTGAATCTAATCCCTTATAAAACTAATCCTTTAATTACAAAACTGTTAGCTACTTTGGATTGGAATCTTTCTGAAATACATTTTTTTTTTTTTTTTTTTTTTTTGTTTTTGAGACGGAGTTTCACTCATGTTACCCAGGCTGGAGTGCAATGGCGCGATCTCGGCTCACCGCAACCTCCGCCTCCTGGGTTCAGGCAATTCTCCTGCCTCAGCCTCCTGAGTAGCTGGGATTACAGGCACACGCCACCATGCCCAGCTAATTTTTTGTATTTTTAGTAGAGACGGGGTTTCACCATGTTGACCAGGATGGTCTCGATCTCTTGACCTTGTGATCCACCCGCCTCGGCCTCCCAAAGTGCTGGGATTACAGGCTTGAGCCACCGCACCCGGCCTGAAATACATTTTTAACTTCTATATAATTTTACCTTTTCATATATTAGTGTCTTCATTATGAACCTCAGCCATGTATTATGCTAGTCCTATAATGCCTTCGTGCTAATGATCTGTGTAGAATGATGGCAGTCCCACTGCTTATCACCTCTCACTCCTACCCCACAACCCCACGAATACAAACTGTTAAGAGAAAAAAGTACGTGCACAGACAATTTCTTTGCAGCATCATTGGAAGTTCCTTAATTATCAATAATGTGGGAAGTGAATTATAATTGAGCAGTTTGGTGATTAATATTCAGTCATTAAAATGATGGTCATAGAGACTACATAGCAACGTAGGTAAATGCTTGGCATAATATAGGTTAAAATTGTGTTAAGAATTATACAAATGGGAGATGATACAGAAGAAAAAGATTAAAAGGAAATATTTTAAAATGCTAACAGTAATTAGAATGGGTGGATTATAAGTAATTTTATATTTTTTCTATGTAATGAGATTATATTACTTTTATAATTATTACTTTTAATTTTCTATAAAAGGAAATATGGAAATTACAAGTCAAAGTAAATACTGTATTTTGATGTAACTCCTATTCTCCAAACACATAGAACAAAATAAATTAAATAGCACAAAAAATATAGCAGGTTCTGAAACAACATCTTTGTGGGCCAGAAATGAAACATGGACACAACGTTTTAAACAGGGCTGAAACAACAGACCAGCTGGCTTTCAGTCTAGCACTGACATCTAGTAGTTTTGCTCCTGTCAGGTAAAAGGATTAAAAAGTGCTTAAGTGTTTCTTGCAAGGCAGGAACCAAAGCCAGAATCACTACATGAAGCCAGGGGTTTGATTAAAATACCTGTCTTATTTATGAAAGGGTGAAAAGAGAAAAAAGCTAATCACTACCCGAAGCTATAGATTTTAGCTGATAAAGACACAGCCTCATCAGTAGCTACTGAATGAAGCCACTTGCTGAGTCAGTGACTTAATGTGTATCTATGACATTTCCAATGTCATTATTAAACTGTAGCCCCGAAATGTCATTTTAAGGCCTAGTTGTGGACTGGGAGCACAGAAGGCCAAGTGGGAGCAACTCTGAAAACATTAAATAGGAGAAGAGAGAAAAAAATTAAAAACTTTTTCTACTCAAAAGAAACCTATAATCCAAATTCTAAATTTATAAAGATACACAATCAGCCACCAGAACATGCATTTCTCTGGATGAATTTAGTTTTATGGAGCATTTCAACAAAGACTTTATTTTAAAAAATAAATTATTTATTTTTGACTAGGTAATAGATGCACATAGTACAAAATTCAAAGGTACAAAAAGGTAAACAGTGAAAAGTAAGTCTATCTCCACCTCTGTCACCTAGCCACCCAGTTTACCTCCCCACAGGCAATCACTGTTACCCATTTCTTGCTATCCTTTCTGAGACAGTTTTTGCATATACAAACATAAATATATATGCACACACACACACACACACACACACACACACATATATATATATAAATGGTAGTATTCTATACATACTATTACTTACCTAGCCTCTTTCAACTAATAACATGTTTAGAGATCATTTGATATTAATATTCATGGGATTATGTTATTCTTTTTAACTGCTGCATGGTATTCCAATGATTGAGAGAAATTTTTAAGCCTTTTTAGGATGCTCAGAGAAATAAATAAAGGGATACTTTCCAATTAAAGAGAGCTTAAAAACTGAAACAAAAGAGATTGTAAAAGAAAAAGTCAATGTAATAAAGAACTAGCTAGAGCTCTTAGAAATTAAAAATGTCAATCTGCCCAGAAGTAAACCCAAATACTTACAGCCAACTTATCTTTGACAAAGCAAAGCAAAACAAAACAAAACAAACAAAAAAACAAAAACATAAAGTGGGGAAAGGATACCCTTTTCAACAAATGGTGCTGGGATAATTGGCTAGCCACATGTAGGAGAATGAAACTGGATCCTCATCTCTCACTTTATCCAAAAATCAACTCAAGATGGATTAAGGACTTAAACCTAAGTCTTGAAACTATAAAAATTCTAGAAGATAACATTGAAAAAACCCTTCTAGACACTGGCTTAGGCAAGGATTTCATGACCAAAACCCAAAAGCAATTGCAATAAAAAATATAAATAGCTGGGACCTAATTAAACTAAAGAGCTTTGGCATGGCAAAGGAACAGTCAGCAGAAAAGAGACAACTCACAGAGTGGGAGAAAATCTTCATAATCTATAATATCCAGAATCTACAACAAACTCAAATCAGTAAGAAAAAGGCAATCAATGCCATCAAAAAGTGGGCCAGGGAAATGAACAGACAATTCTCAGAAAAAGAATACTTTATAATGGCCAACAAACATATGAAAAAATGCTCATCACTAATGATCAGGTAAATGCAAATCAAAACCACAATGCAATACTACCTTACTCCTGTAAGAATGGCCATAATCAAAGAATCAAAAAACAGTAGATGTTGGTGGGGATGCAGTGATCAGGGAACACTTCTGTACTGCTGGTGGGAATGTAAACTAGTACAGCCACTATGGAAAACAGTGTGGAGATTCCTTAAAGAACTAAAAGTAGAACTACCATTTGATCCAGCAATCCCACTACTGGGTATCTACCCAGAGGAAAAGAAGTCATTATTCGAAAAAGATACATGCACACACATATTTATAGCAGCACAATTCACAATAGCAATATCATGGAACCAACCCAAATGCCCATCAATCAACCAGTGGATAAAGAAACTGTGGTATATTTATACACAATGGAATACTACTCAGCCATAAAAAGCAATGGATAAACAACATTTGCAATGACCTGGATGAGATTAAACACGGTTATTTTAAGTGAGGTAATTCAGGAATGGAAAGCCAAACATCATATGTTCTCACTGATATGTGGGGCCTAGGCTATGAGGACATAAAGGCATAAGAATGATACAATTAGGTTTTGGGGACTTGGGGGGAAGAGTGGGGGTTGGACAAGGAATAAAAGACAACAAATATGGTGCAGTGTATACTGCTCGGGTGATGGGTGCACCAGAATCTCACAAATCTCACTAAATAACTCATAACCAAATACCACCTCATACCCCAATAATTTATGGAAAAATAAAATTAAAAAAAAAAAAAGTCAAACCTGGTTTGGTGGCTAACACCTGCAATCCCAGTAGCTTGAGAGGCTGAGGCAGGAGGATTACTTGAGCCCAGGAGTTAAAGGCTGCAGTGATCTATGACTGCATCACGGCTCTCAGGCAAGATGACAGAGCAAGACTCTATCTTTATAAAAAGAAAGAAAAAGAAATTATGTCGTTGGTATATAAAAAACTCAATAGATGGGATACACTTTATCTTTTATACCACTGATAAATGAATTAATGAGTTAGAATATAGCACTAAAAATTCACACAGAACACAGAAAAAAAGGTCAAAATATGAAAAAGTAGTTGAAAGACAGGATTGAGAGATTACAGTGTGTATAAAGAGTTATAGAAAAATATTGGTAGAAAACTAATTTTTGAAGATAACAATGGCTGAGAATTTTTAGTACTGAAGGGCCTGAGACATCAAATCAAAAGTGAACTTTATAGTGTCAAGCTGCTGAGACCATCTCGGTCATGGAGACCCCAACCCAGATGGCGCTGAAGGAATTAAGAAACAGAAACAGATATAGAGTGCAAAAGGTGGAACATCAGGGGTTACAGCATTCCTGGCTGAGAGCCTTGAAAAGAGTTTGACCCACATATTTATTGACAGCAAGCGATAATCATCATTACTGCAGTTTATAGATTAACGAAAAGCATTCTTCACAGGGAACAAAGCATTTTTTACTACTGGGAAGAAACAGGCTCTGACGCGTTTATCTACTGCAACTGGAACACATCAGGGTGCGGGTCCCTCATGCTATTGTTTGTGGTTCCGGAACGCCTTAAGCAGTCTTCTGTCCTGGATGGGTCAGGCATTTATTTCCCTTACTCCAGTAAACCAACAGCCTCCAGCAATGTGCGTCACTACCATCATGAGTATGTCATAGTGCTATAGATATCTTGTTTATGGCCAGTTTCTTTAAGGCCTGTTTATGACAGGCTTAGGGCCTGTTCCCAGCATCAAGCAGTTTAAATAAAGATAAATTCACATCTAGACAGGTTGCGGTGAAACTCTAGAATACCAAAAATCAAGAGAAAATCTTAGAAGCCACCAAAGTTAGAAGCCAGATTACCTACAGAAGTATGATAATTACACAAACAGGTTTCTCATTAGCAATGGTTGATATCAGGAGAAAATGGAGTAATATTAATATCTTCAGTATGAAGGCAAAATAATGTTCAATACCATGTTATATCCAGGTAAACTGTTAATCCAGACTGAAGAATTTTAATTAGGTAAAATGTTAACTGTTATTAATAGGAGGAAGAAAAGAATTTAGGAGCTTTGGGGGGTACATGTAAAACAAAATTTAAATTAAAA